ATACCCGGAGTGACCTAGGTTCGAGGCCAGGTCAGGGAGGATTGTAATATATACATATCAATGCGGCATTGCATTATTCAATCTTTCATATATATACCTCAGGATATCTGACTTCGGTTTCGAATTTCTAAATCAATTTCCACCGAGTGCCCACGGGGAGTGTGTGTAAAACCTCGCTATCATTACTCATGTATAAGTAGATAGGTAATGTCTATGGAGCTAGTTAGATCCTAGTTGCACACTCCTTTTAGTGGGTCGCGTGGCATGGTTGGTTTAGTACTGGCCCTCCGGTATCATACTCGGAGTGACCTAGGTTCGAGGCCAGGTCAGGGAGGATTGTTATATATACATATATGTGTGTATGTATATATGCATAGATACACACACACACATTTATATACATATGTATATGTATGTGTATATATACATATATATTTATGTATATATATATTTATACATATATATTTATGTATATATGTATTTATACATATATGTACAGCATATACATATATATATGTGTGTGTGTGTGTACATATACGTATACCATAAATATTTATATATATGTGAGCGTGTGTGTGTGTGTATGTGGTAAACGTATATGTATACATATACACTTATGTGTTTATATATATATGTCTGTATATAAATATATATATATATATATACATATATATATATATATATATATATATATATATATATATATATATATATATATATATAAGAATTATGTATATATGCGATTATCTCCAGATGCTTTGATAGTAATAATAATAATAATAAAGATTGTAATAATAGCTGTGTTAGAATTATGCTGACAATAATAACAATGCTAATGATAGTGATAATAATAATAATGATAATGTTAGTAATAACAATAACAAAGATAATGTTAGTAATAACAATAATATAATGAAAAGAATAGCAGTGAAGATGTTACTGATAATGATAACCATGATAATAATAACAATAATAACAATTGTAATAAGAAGAATGGTATAGCTACAGCTAATATGGTAATCCCAGTGAATTACACGTCAAGTCAGCACCATTTCATAAAAATCTAATGTATGTTTTAGAGTAAATAGCAAATGTTCATCTAAAATTTATTGGTTACATGAAAATATTCTTAATAACATCAAAACGGTAGCATCACAGAAGTCTGTAAATATGTCCAAGAATCCCATTATGAAAAGTAACACCATGAAATCAAAAGTTATAAATTCTGTCTGTATAAAATAACATAAAATACAAGCACGCGTATGTTAAGGATATTATAAAGATCCTACAAGAATTACATTCAGCGACTAAGGGATTATCACATGAGGACAAATTTTCGTGTGCTTTCCACAATCTACAAACAGCAATTTCATTTAACAAATTTCGTCTCTGGATCTCCATTGTCCACCAAAACTGAGCAAGAATGGGGCTGGCCTCGTTCCCTTTGCCTGCGCCTGGGCAGATGGGCGATAATCACTGACTTCCATGTTATTAGCCTTTATTATAATTTAGATAGTTATTTGAGAACTTCCGTGTGCTTGGACTAATATTATGGTTAACTGTATTTTGATAGAACAGCATATTTCTGCCTTTCTATGTTTGTATAGGCTAGATTGAATGGCATTTTCGTAGACACGCAATAATCTTTACACATTTTATAAGTATATGACTAACCTGTAGAATGTTTTACAAAGTACACGATAATTTGCTCTCGTTTCATATGGCCTTTACATGTGCTCTAAGTGAGGGATTCTTGATGAACAAGATGCAAATAAAACAAAGGAATAAAACACGAGAAAAAATACGAATATTCCTGTAGGAATTTTTGCTATATTGCTTCACCAAGGCTAGAAAAAGCAATATAGCGAAAAGGTCTTCCGTATATTTCCTGCGTTGTTTTATGTACTATAGAAGCTCCAAACCACAACCATCAACAGGCAAACAAGTACACGAGTCCCCAGAGGCTAAGTAGGAGCAGGTATCACACCTACAAGATGGTAGGATTATGCTAGGGAACAATGTCACTGTCACAGTGTTATCTCTACAGACTTCTCTCGTCGTAATGTACACCGGGAGTGTGACAGTTTCCCGTTGTGGGCAGCCATAGCCGGAGTAAGCAGACCGTTTGACAACGTTGCCCTCCATCCCTGGCCACAAAGATACATCGGTGACACCCAGCACTGGTTCTAAGGAATGCTCTTCTCTCTTAGCCTGAACTTTGGAGTGTGATGCCAGTGTCTCTCTAAAGGCACTTGTGGCACTGTTGACGTGGCCGACGAGGGAAGGTTCCAAGAAATGCGGACTGCCATTGGTTACGGCGCCAGTTGCCACCCACACCAGAGCCACTAGCAGGTAGCGCGATGTCATTTTCAACAAAACCGTCAACTCGAATGAAACCTGGAACATATGACAGATTATGAATTACAAATCTACATACAGGTATATATATGCAGATGTGAATAAATATATATATAGGTAGACGTATACCACAGTCGGCATAAAAGCATAACTATGTGCAAGCCATTAGCTTCCAAAATGGCAGCCCTCTCCCCCAAACTAAGCGGTGGCCCATGTGACGAGCTGGTCAGAACGCCTTCCGTCGCCATAAACATATATGTTTATACATATATGCTTATATATACATATATGTTTATATATATATATTCATATTTATGTATTTGTATATACATATATCTATATATTTATATACATTTATATATGTGTGCGTGTGTGGGTGTATGAATAGGAAAATCGCCACAATAAAAAAACGAATTAAATCGTAATGTATTAAACCCGTCAAGAGTTCCTTGTCAGGCGGATAAATAACCAAAATTGATCCATCCATTTCGGCCACTTCAATAATAATCAAACGTTCAAAAAATGTAATAATGCAGTCAATAATTGATAATATTCAACTAGAGAAAATTCATAACTACCACATCATGATTCCAAAGAAACACAATATATTTCATAGAATGAAAATGATTGAGATTTTTAACTTACATAATGCCATCTCCACACCATTATTGGTGACATTCTGAGATTCCAAATCATGGAAGAGTCAAATCCCATTCAACTAAAATAAATATTACTCTGAATTTAAATCCCAAATATACAATTACATTCCCTACAAATGCCAACAATGTCAACTTCACATATCGTCACAATTTCTAATCAAAAATAACTTGACAACGCGTTCCAGTGCTTCCATGCGCCGCCTGTGAACAATACGTAGCAAGACCGGATGGCAGATTCACACCTCGGTCCAAGCAAATGCCTTTCTCCATGGGCAGGACGCAGGTGTTGCCCTCCTTTCTCTTTTCACACAAGAATAAACATCCGCCCTCCAAGGAAACCGCCGCATAAAAGGGCACGTGCCTAAGACGACGGGGGACAGAAGGAGACACGGCAGACAGGCCAAGCGACACAGGGTCCAGCTCCACCACCTCGTCCTCCACCCGGGGACACGGGGGTCTCTTGGGGGTCTCATATCTATCTTCAGAAATAAACCAGCAAGTTAAGACCCCTTTCATTGACCGCCCCAAGACCATCTCTGTTACGCTTACATCTAGTGGCTTGCGTGGTCACTTACGCTTACACCGCCAACACAAAACAAAAACGACAAAGGGATACTTCATATGACATTTACTTTACATTAATCATCCTTGAGTACACTTAGACTATAGAAAATATATCATATTTCTCACAAATAACTAATACCATAATACCTTTAATACATTGTTCTTATTGAAATAACAATTTCAATACATACACACACACACACACACACACACACACACACACACACACACACACACACACACACACACACACACACACATATATATATATATATATATATATGCATATGTGGCCCCTATTCCACAACATTTTATTAAATGCTCTTCAGTATGAAGACGTTTTATGTTAGATTAATAAGTGTTTAGATGTTCTCATTAATCATAATGTAACTTTAAACAATCAATTGCTTCAAAGTGACAATAATAATACTATTAATTGTTGCAATTGAGGGTTCGAGATAAATCTTTGTAAAAAGTCAGTATATCTATTAATTGAATATCATAAATGCAATATTATAAAGTTACAACACCAAAGTTTATGCAAATCAAGAAACAGAGAAACATTATTTGGGTTCTTGACCTTTTATATATAACTAGACAGTTATAACTCACTGTTTTATAATTATCAATCATAAAACGATAAAAACAAAATAATATTCAAAACTACGTCATATCTTAATGAATCAAATACAAAACAAAATAGCGATCATTATAAAAACAGTTAATTATTTGATATCTCAAAGTTAAAAAATGAATTAGATAATACAATAAAAAAAATTATGATCACCAGAAATGCAAATAGTTATTTCAAAATGCATGCTCACTGAAATGAATATTAAAAGAATACTGATCATAAGAAAAACATTAAATTTTATTTCTATATGAATAAATGAATCAGACACAATGCAAGTGAAAGCAAGAATCTTGACAGAAACAAGGACATAGAAACTAAAAACAAGAGTAGCACTGGGAAATGTAAATAAATATGACCACATCACACCACATAGACACAGACTAAAATGGCTAAAAGTACAACAGAAATACAACTATAACACATGTATTCCATAAAATAATACAAGGAAAATACCCAAAATGGCTGTTACCAATACAAACAACAGGTAACATAACAGTTGTCCATTCTAGCCAAATAACTCCTTATACATCAAAAGATCGATTACAAAAACCAGGGCAAGAAATAAGCAAAGCCGAAGATTGGTGATCTGGAACCAACTACCAGAAAATATAAGAAACATCTCAAACCAAAAGACATTTAAAACAAAAGTGAAAGAACATCTACTGAAATGTCAATGACACCAGGCGTTTGAACACCAAGTTAAGCACATCATTTCAGTCATCTGTGATATCGATGTTCTGTATAATCTTGTTAAACAATCCATGTATAATATCTATTACATAATGCAAACGCCATATATATGGAGAGAGAGGATACCCATTGAAATGAATAGAATAAAGTGCTTTGAATTTGAATTCATATTTCGGAAGACAACAGGACCCGTCACTGCCTACAAACTTAAACTAAGATCAAAATTCTGAATTTATACATATTACCAGTTGCAGCGTATGGGTGTTGGACAAAGAATAAAGAAGCCCAGAGAAGGATAACATCATTGGGAATGTGGTGACTAAGCAGAATGTTTAGGATAAGCTGGAATGTCAAAATTAAGAACGTTGATATTTTTGAGAAGGCTAACATCAAGGATAGGTGGCTGAATCAAATTGCAAGGAGGAAGATGAAGTTTTCGGGACACGTTCTTAGGGGCTCGACTGGGGATGTGGAGTTGCTGGTGTTGGAAGGATTGGTGGAAGGGAAGAGATATAGGGGGAGACAGGTTCGAAAACATCAAGGAATGGGCTAGAGTTGCAAGAGGAAAGCGGAAGAGCGAGGTCTTTGGCAACCAACCTTCAGATCGAAGACGGCACGGCGATTGAGAGAATATTGATATATGACCATGAAGTCTAGCACATTATTTCTTTTAACCATTAACCATTAGCACAATATTACCACAACATTAGTTCAATTTAATAATCAAGTTGTTTCATTACATGTTCATAAAAAAATCATCATTTTCTTCCTAACCCTATGTTCCAGAATAGCACTCCCATGTTACTGTCTTCCATTTATAATTCCTGCCACTGTTCCATCACGATGCTACACGAAAATACTTCAAACGGACTTACCGAGATGAACATGGCTACTGGACGCTACTCCATAACCTAATCCATATTCTCCTTTTATTTTTGATATGAAGCTCATCCGGTCACACCCTTGCTGGTTATCACTTAATTAGTTGGAAAGATACCCGCATCAGGATTGTTCTATGGCCCGACACATTTTTAACACTACACATATTACCTCAAAATTTTCCTAACTGCTACCCGAGTTAATTTCTTGTTCCCAGACTGATACACTATGATCTATATTGCGGCCGATTAGAACTGCTTGTTGTTTTGCACTCGTGATTTCTTTTTTGCTTCTACGGGTTCATCATGTGGTGTCACCCTCTGTCACATGATGATTTAGCTACTTTGGGTCATAGGGCGCTTTTTTTTTTTTTTTTTTTTTTTTTAAATCTGTGCTGTGTTATATAGCATGTTGTTCGCGTGATGACTAAGCCTTTGAGTGTCTACGACATATATATATATGTAGACATTCAAAGGCTTAGTCATCTATACATATATATGTATATATATATGCCATAGATAAAATATTAATGCAAACACATACATATTTATAATATATGTATATCTGTATATATATATATATATATATATATATATATATATATATATATATACACGTGAATATGTATATATATGCGTATGTATGAATGTATGTTTGATAATATGTATGTATAAGCACTCACGAAGATAAATGTGTGTGCATGTGTGTGCACACTATAAAATAATAGATATTTGCTAACTGCAGCATGGGGATACTTCTACTGAATTGAGACATTACCTTTTCCTTAAAGGGAAACATGAACAGACAAATGGAAAATGAAATAAACAATCTGCAATTGATGAGGAAGGGAGAGAGACAGAGCACGCGGGTGTATGTGTGTGTGTGTGTGTATGCGTGAGAGAGAGAGAGAGAGAGAGAGAGAGAGAGAGAGAGAGAGAGAGAGAGAGAGAGAGAGAGAGAGAGAGAGAGAGAGAGAGAGAGAAGGTGTGGGGGAGTGAATAAGAGGGACCATGATAGTGAGTGTGAGAATATGAAAAAAAGGAAGAAAGAGAGAGCAAGACAAGAACAATTACGACCTCAACATATACACAGAAAAAAAAAACTAGTATCATGTATACTATATGGTTCAATTGCCAGTGGTAAAAAACATTATTATCTCTTATCATCTCTTTTGTCTACTTGTATTTCTTAATGTATTTGAAAATAGTAATTGGGAATAAATGAATTGATGAATAGTGTTTTCAAATATTTATGTATTTACTTCACATGCACTGGTATGATATCAATATGGTAATAATAATAATGATCATAATATTGATAATAATGATAATCATAATGCTAATAATGCTATTGATAACAGTTATAAAGACAATAATAACAATAATAATGCTGCTGCTGATGATAATAATAGTAAAGATAATTAATTTTAGAAGTTCTTATGAAAACCATATCAAAACGCAAATATCGATTGATGTATATAGGTAATTAAGGATAAACACACAGAATAGTGTGCGTGTGCATATGTATATCAGTATATATATACACATATATATTAGAAGTGTACTTTTGAGCGTGACCTTATAGAAAATATGAACACAATGTCTTTTAAACAATCAAGCAACAGATCGCCACATACCTTTGCTTCAAACAACTGAACACTTCGAAGGGATGATGCAGACTGCACGATAGTTGTCAGACGACTAGCCTTTTACAGGCTCTTCCTATGCAAAACCTAACTAACTGCATTTATGGAATCTTACAGCATGCAGTGCCCTAGCTGGTCTGACTAGAATTACTGATGAGACATCCTTACTAACATAAACCATCAAATATACATTTTAGATTCAAATATTTGTCTCGTAAACTTTCCAAGTTTGTGTATTCTTAGGGAAATGTCACGTATACATTTGTTAGTATTTGGAACGTATGAGGAAGTACATTATTTTCAATAGGTAGTGGGAATCCTCAAGGTTACCGTGTCTTCCACACGCATATGCAGACATTTCTTTCAAGTAAAGTTTTTTTTTTTTACGCGACAGAATTGTGTTTGGCAATACTGACCAAGATATTAGTAATAATGATACTAATAAATATCATTATATTAAATATTTATATTCATGATGTTAATGACACTAATAATTATGATATAGACAAAAGTAACTATGATAATGCCATAGGGTAATGATTATAATAGCAATGATTGAAATGGCAATGATAATAACGATGATAAAAAAAAAAAAAAAAAATGAGGATAATAACGATGATATTCATGATTGTTAGTAATATTGATACTATCATATTTTTATTCTCATTATTCTCATTATTACTACTACGACTACTACCATCATTACTACGTTTATTATTATCATTACTATTATTATTATTATTATTATTATCATTATCATTACTATCATTATTATCATTATCATTACTATCATTATTATCATTATCATTTGTTATTATGATATCATCATCAGACTTGTGTCTAAGGAATGTTGTAATACAGGACTGCAGATCACTGCGGCAAATCAAAGGCCATGGCTCTAAGGCTTAACCCTTTTGCTGCAGGTGTCACAGCATCTGTGACGGAGCTTTCCGTACACCTCGTGCTGCCGTCACAGCGTATGTGACACATCATATTCTGCCTATTAATCGGTCATATTTCCCATATTCAGAACTTAATGTCCATTTACACATCTTTATCATTTTATTTTCATCAGAATTCAAGTGTAAAACATTCAATATATGTTTGTATTTTTCAGATGTTTTAAAACAAGTGTAAAACATTCACTATATATTTGTATTTTTCATATGTTTTATTCTTTATAAATCACACAAATTGGCTGCATCGTTGTCTAGCGGTGTTTGGCAACTCTCCATGTTGCATGTGTTATATATTTTTTTCATTTGCCTTCACTACTTTTTAATTAATTCTGCTACTTTATAACCTGGTATGATTTATTCTGAATAAATTACTTAAGACCTTCGCGAAGGCATCTTCATAATAAAAATACAATTCAGTCAAAAGGATCATGAAACTCTTGCAACAATACAAATAAAGTAAAAATAACAGGCTTAAATTTTCTGTGTAAATGTAAATGCAATAACCACTATCTCATACGTTTGAAAATTTCAGGCTTATACAACAGGTTAATTATCTAGCAGGTTGAAAAGTCGCCGGTTTTATTCCATTTAGAGAGCATTAATAGGGTTTTCAACGCATCTGCGCGAGGCCAAAGGCGGGTTTCCCCCTCATATTTCCGCCTGAACAGCTAATTATCTACCAACTAGGACCATCATCTGTTCCCACGTGCCGGCCCAATTATGTTTTGCTAATTAACCTCAAGGGGCAATGCAATGCTTTTCCAAAAAAGTGTTCCCAGCTCATCTCTCAATTTTTGTATAGTCTACAGTGCAAACTAGGGAATATGTTCAGCTTTCCCATATGTATAATTCTATGCAGACGGGCGTATCTTTGTACGCCAATACAGTGCATTCCCTTCTGATATGAAAAGACCAGGGTAAACATCAATTAGGGATCTTCCATTTTATGATGATATAAGAAAAAGATGATTCAGATCAGAAGGTGGACTAGATTTTCAGTCATTTACTCCCCCTCCACAAAATTGTCTATAGTACCTTCCTACAAGTATATACGAAGAAAAGGAACTATGCAACTGTAACCAATAATGTTGGTTACTGTAGTTTCATTCATCTAGCAAATATGCTGTTTTGTCTCCTACAAGAACGGGAAAAATATTGTAAAAGACACAAATAACTTTGCTGACGGGAATAGTCCAACCAAACTTTACTTCTCGATTTCCCCGTCATGGTCTTTCTCACCAGTCTAAAAACATGCTATAAGAAACGAGGCTATCTATCTTTAAGTCGGACTACGGTGATTGTTGGTTATTGTAGTTTCATTTATCTATCATTCATTTATCTATCATTTTATCATTTATCTCCTACAAGAACGGGAAAAAATATTATAAAAGGGCACAAATAACCTAGTCGACGGGCATAATTCAACCAAACTTTACTTCTCGATTTCCCCAGTCATTGCCTTTCTCACCAATCTACAAATATGCAGCAAGAGATGGAGATAGATAAGTTGTTATCTTTAAGAGAAGATCACCTCACCGTCGGACTAACGGTGATTTATTTTGTCGGAAAACGCGCATTCAGCCACCGCTTCTTAATACATGCATATATTTTCTCATATCTCCCTATACAGAGATATTTTTTACGTTGGCACTGAATAAAACTTGATACTCGACCTCTTGAATATTTTCTGAATAACTTAATACAAAATCATGCCAAATGAAAAATATATATATCTTAACATCCTTTGCCTATGTTTTTTCACTATGTCACTAGTTATTGTAGTAGCGAAAACATTTAAGGCCCCTATAAACTTTTTATCTTCAAAAATCAAAGCACATGTATAACAAGAAGGCTTTTACTTGATTATTTTTCCCTTTTAGCAACTGGGTCTCTATCATAAACAAGGACTTTTGTAAGATATGAAAAAAAGAGGTAAAATAATATAACTCATTTGCCCCCCATGTTTATAAAGCTTTTATAATTATACGTGTATTGGACAAAGACTAAGTCAAATACACCTAAAGCAGGGATTTTTGACCAAGGGTATGTTTACCACAGGGAGTAAAAATATATATATATATATATATATATATATATATATATATATATATATATGTGACACCCTCGATGCGATGGATTTTAGCAGACAGCATGCGATTTTCCAACTGATAATGTTTGATGCGTTTTTTTTTTTTTATTATCTTTTCTTAAACCGAGTTATCAACAACTATATATTATATTTCCTAATCAAAACATTCTTTGTTATGTGTCTACATTAGATATTCTTGTTTTACATGGTAGTAAAGGGGTATATGACGAGCAACATACAGTCGAGGAGGTAAGTTATAGAGAAAGGGTTGAAAATCACACTCCTAAAGGGGAAAAAGCTGGAACCGAAACAATATTTCCTAAATGGCAAGTAAAAAGCATTTGTTTAGGAGAAAAAATATTCGCATTACCTCATAAAAAGGGAGGGAAAAGCTTCTTTTTCTTAACTTAGAGAAGGCTCCATCAGAATCTGAATGGCTGAATGCGCGTTTCCCGATAAAGTAAATCACCGTTAGTCCGACGGTGACGTGATCGACAGAAATTTCTGTCGAGTTATTCTTATTAGAGCTGCACCTTTGTTATATTCTGCATTTGTAAACATTTGTAAAGATATTGATTATAGTCTTTGCAAGTATTTTTTTTTTTACATATACATATGGAGTGAGAAATGGATATTGTCAGATGCATATATTTTTGTCTTATATTTACATAATGCGAACATTGTCAATCTTAGTAAGGGTTATAATGGATTTCCTTTTCTTGATTGGTTACACCTCAAGACAAGACTGCACCACCACCGCCATTACCTCTGAGCAAGAAGAGATGGTTATATTATCATCGTCGTTATATGGAACTCGATCGATATGATTTGTATTTGTGTCTGTTTGTACTAAAGGTATATTTAAAGACTAATAAAGGCATAATGAGTACAGCAATGAATTTTATAATCCTTTTGATTGCAATGAATTCTTAATATTGGGATGCTTTGGCAATTTAAAGTAAATGTACACACACACACACACACGCATATATATATATATATATATATATATATATATATATATATATATATATATAAATGTACACACCCACCCATACATATATATAGATAGATAGATATAGATATATGTGTGTGTGTGTGTGTGAGTATGTTTATACACACATACACACACACACGCACGCACGCATATATATCTATCTATATGTCTATTTATCTATCTATCTATCTATATATACATATAGATAGATGTGTGTGTGTGTGTGTGTGTGAATAAACGTAAACACAAACACACATTTTCACTAATGCAAATACTTACATACCTCATATATATGTGTGTGTGTGTGTGTGTGTGTGTGCGTGTGTGTGTGTATAAACATAAACACACACATTTTCACTAATGCAAATACTTACAGACTTCATATATATATATATATATATATATATATATATATATATATATATATATATATGTGTGTGTGTGTGTGTGTGTGTGTGTGTGTGTGTGTGTGTGTATGTATATGTATAAATGTACACACCCACCCATAAACACACACATATATATATATAGATATGTGTGTGTGTGTGTATGTTTACACACACACACACACACACACACACGCACGCACGCACACATATCTATCTATCTGCCTACCTACCTATCTAGCTATCTCTATATATATAGATATATGTGTGTGTGTGTGGTTGTGTGTGTGTGTATAAACGTAAACACACACACATTTTCACTAATGCAAATACTGACATACTTCATATACACACACACACACACACACACACACACACACACACACACACACACACACATATATATATATATATATATATATATATATATATATGTGTGTGTGTGTGTGTGTGTGTGTGTGTGTGCGTGTGTGTGTGTGCGTGTGTTTACGTTTATGCACACATACACACATACATATCTATATCTATCTATCTCTCTCTCTCTCTCTCTCTATATATATATATATATATATATAGATATATATAGATATGTGTGAGTGCGTGTGTGTGTGTGTATAAACATAAACACACACACACACAT